GCCAGAATGAACTCAGAGCTGACCTACCCCCAAATTCAGGGCTCTCTTCACCCCACACAGCACCCCGAGTGACCTGTTCGTAGAAAACCAGTCAGATGAGCCTCACCTGCCAGATCCATTTCTGGGCTTGCCTGAGGCCGTGGTGAGCATCACAGGGCCGACTTGACCCAGAGGTCCAAGATGCAAGTGAAGCGACCTGGCTTCTCCACGGGCCCTGAGCAAGGAATCAGCGTGTCCGAGGGTGACGGGGCCACAGGCTGTGACGTAGAACCGGGACTGGGCCTGTCTCATCCCTGGCGTTTGTCCCCTGTGCTCTTGGCTGGCTGGCTCCCTCCCTCTGCTTTTACTGGCCTCTCCCCATCACCCCCCAATTTGAGGCTGGGCTAGGGCCAACGGTGCTGAGAGAAGCTACGAGAACATCTGCGGAGACCAGGACATGGCCAGGCCCTACAGCTCCTCCGTCCCCAGGTCCTAGCAGTGACAGCTGGGTGCAAAGCCCTGGCGGTCATGAGCAGTCCCAAACCCGCCCTGCAGACACCTGGCCCATCATGGCCTCACAAGACCATGTGTTGACCGCATTCTCCCTAGTTAGGAGCAGGCTTCCGCTGGGGAACAAGGGACCAGACTGCAAAGGAAGTGGGCAGAGAGGAGCGGGGGGCTGTGGGTGAGAGGAGGGGCAGAAAGAGGCGGAGAGGGTCTTGTGGGTGCAGAGGAGACGTGCCCCCCCTTCCCCCCACAGACCATTTCGCTGGTTTGCAGATGTGGGCACTCTGCGAGCACTCAGCTGGCCTAAATCCAAGAACCAGCCACCCATTGTTCTGCAGGGTCATCTGGCCTGGAAAGCGGGAAGAAGCTGGACAGGAACCAGGCCCTCCCTTTGCAGGAAGGTCATATGGAGCCTGGTTCTGGGGAAGAAAGCTCTGACTCACAGTGGCCATGGCTTTGCCTCATCCCCAGTTGTCACGCTATTTGCTGGAAGACAGCGGTTTTCTAGGAGTGCCCTTCCAGGAATCATCTCTTTGCAGCTGACACAACCCTAGGTCAAAAGGGAACTCGGATCTGGCTTCGAAGTCGGAAAATCTGTTCAGCTGGAAGGTGGGAGGAAACTCTGTTGGTTGTCAGGAGACCTGGATCCCAGGCCAGCTTAGAGCCCTTAGCAAGCTGCTTCACACCTTTGGGCCTCAGTATCCCCATTCTTAAAATAAGAATGATTCTTTCCCCATCTCCCAGGCTTGTCTCAGGGATCACACCAGCTCTCAGGTGGGAGCAGGCAGGGCAAGCCTCAGATCTTTTGATAAAAGGAAATAAATTCAAAGTTAGACATAAGGGCAGGGAGTTGTTGATATCCAAGGCTCCATGGCTGAGGGGACCCGGGAGTTGAAACCCAGGCTGGGCCCCACTTGTCACCTGGCACAGGACCGTGTCCACCCGGAGAAAGGGACACCTTTTCCACATTGTCATGTGGTCTATAGCAGGGGTCCTCAACCTCCGGGCTGTGGACTGGTACCTGCTGTCAGATTAATGGTGGCATTAGGTTAAAAATAAAGTGCACAATAAATGTAGTGCACTTGAATCATCCCCAAACCATCCCAACCATCCTCCCCATCCCCACTCCATGGAAAAATTGTCTCCCATGAAACTGGTTCCTGGTGCCAAAAAGGCTGGGGAACTGCTGGTCTGCAGGGAGTCCAGATGAACTCACTCCTGGGGGCAGCTGTGCATATTTTTGGTTTAATGAGAGCAGTCAGCACAGGATGTGCCTGAGCGAGTGGAGGGCACGTAACCCACCTGGAGGAAGCAGATGGCTTCCTGCCAATGACGATGGCTGAGATGGGCCTTGAAGAATGAAGAGTTGGCCTGGAGTAGAAGGGAATCAAAGAACCCCTGAAGATTGCAGGAACTCTCCACAGTGCTCTTGAGTGTCTGGTGAAGACCCATTGACAGCTTCTATTCCAGACTATCTTCTTAAGAGTGTTTGACTAGGAACTTCCCTGGTGGCCGAGTGACTAAGCCTCTGAGCTACTAATGCAGGGGTTCGAGCCCTGGTCAGGGAACTAGATTGCACATGCTGCAAGTGAAGATCTTGCATGGCACAATAAAGATCAATGATCTGGCCTGCTGCAACTAAACAGTGCAACAACAACCAAAAAATAGTATTTTTAAAAAAGAGTATTTGACTAGCCTTGGAAGATACAGTTGCTTTCTCCTGGGAAGAGGGCAATTTTTTTTTTTCCTGACCAAAATAATTAACTAATGTCTCTCACTTTGAAAGAATCTGTCTCCTCCGACAGGGCCAAAGTGGGACAGGTCTGCTCACAGCCTTATTCCTAAGCCGGACGTTTCTCAACCTGATCCAGATGCACTGTGTGGACAGCATCTACCAGGGCCCACCTCCGCATGCCCCTCAGGGCACTTGGCAGGCCAGGGGAGGCAGCAAATATGAAACACATGCACCTGGATGCTGAGGGTGATGAAGTCCCTTGTGGTGGTCCCAAGAGTTTCATATCTCCTGCCAGCATGTATGACATTGTGGCAGGTGACCTTGTTATCGTGTAGGTGGGGTAAAATCTCTGACTCTTAACAGTTTTTGATGAGGAAGATGGAAGAAAGTGAAAAATCACAGAAAATGAAATAGGAGTGTGCTGTATGCAGAGTCACCGGTCATTTCCAGATCAGGTGTACATATAAGTACCGCGCGCTAACCGATTGCGCCACTGGAGCTCTCCAGATCAGGTGTACATAAAGCCTGAAGCAAAGAGTAGTGGGAGGTGAGGCCAAAGGGGCAGCCGGTCAGGTCCTTGAATGGCCCTGGTTGGCAGCACAGCAAGTCTAGAAATTCTGTACCCACATAGAACAGAACTGGAGGGCCCGGGCTGGAGGCAGCAGCAGTGAGCACTCCTAGCATTTAGACTGTTGTCTTAAAAGACAATGTCTCATGAAGACGCCAGTTTCCTGGAGAAATAGCTGATCCCAACTTTGGGACAGGAAATGTAGAATGAAACATTCTGATACACTAGATAGGAAGGAAGTGGTGGAAGTTTCTCAGCGTCATGTCGAAAGGGCTTGGGTTGTCAGTCACGGACTCATGACTGCATTCTCCTCTGCCTATCTCCCTGCAACCACTAATCTACTTTGATGTTGTTCAATTGCTCAGTCGTGTCTGACTCTTTATGATCCCATGAACTGCAGCACGCCAGGCTGCTCTGTCCTTCATTATCTCCTGGAGTTTGCTCAAAGTCATGTCCATTGAGTTGACGATGCTGTCTAACCATCTCATCCTCTGCCACCTGATTCGCTTTTTGCCTTCAATCTTTCCCAGCATCATGGTCTTTTCCAGTGAGTTGGCTCTTCACATCAGGTGGCCAGTGTATTGGAGCTTCAACTTCAGCATCAGTTCTTCCAGTGAATATTTAGGGTTGATTTCCTTTAGGATTGACCTCTGAAAGGGCTTGGGAGTCCACCCTGGGAGTCCACCAGGACTTCCCTGCTGGCTCAGCTGGTAAAGAGTCCACCTGCAATGCGGGAGACCCGGGTTCGATCCCTGGGTTGGGAAGATCCCCTGGAGAAGGGAAAGCCTACCCATTCCAGTATTCTGGCCTGGAGAATTCCATGGACCGTATAGTCCATGGGGTTGCAAAGAGCTGGACACAACTGAGCGACTTTCATTCATCCAGCCAAAAATGGACAACTTGAGCTTCCGTAGAGAAGTACAATGGATTGAAACCCATAGAAATATGTAAATCCTCTGGATCCAGCTACTAATTTATAAGAGACCTGGGCATCATAAAGACATGCTGAGCAGCAGCTTATATATGCAATCAGTGAAGTCCAGACTGAGAAACTCCACTGATCTCCAGCCTGGACCCTTCAATGGAAATTGGAAAGGGAGAAAACAAACAAAAAAAAAGATGAGAGAATCTGTAGAATAAAAACTATAAAAGTGTCCAGGGATGCACACTTGTACTAAAACCACAGAGAACACAAGGAGAGTGGCTACTTTGGGAGGGAGGAGCAATGACTGGGATGGAGCACAAGAAGGGGCTTCCAGGGCGCCCAGTGTGATGGTTAATTTTATGTGTCAGTTTGACGGGGCCATGGTGCCTACATATTTAGTCAAATATTATTCTGGATGCTGTAGTGAAGGATTTTTTTTTTTTGGATGATGTCAACATTTAAATGAGTAGACTTAAAGCAAAGCAGATGACTTTCTGTAATATGGGTGATGGTGGTGATTTAGTCGCTAAGTCGTGTCCTACTCTTGTGACCCCATGGACTGTAGCCTGCCAGGCTCCTCTGCCCATGGAATTCTCCAGGCAAGAATACTGGAGTGGGTTGCCATTTCCTTCTCCACGGGATCTTCCCAACCCAGGAATTGAAGCTGGGTCTCCTGCATTGCAGGCATATTCTTTACCAACTGAGCTATGAGGGAAGTCCTGGACTGCAGTGCCTCCTCTGGGTCTCCAGCTTGCAATTTTCCATTTACTAAGCCTCCAGTCATTGATTCCTTCAGGTAATGTCTCTATATGTATACACATCCATTGCTTCTATTTCTTAGGAGAATCTTGACTCATGCATCTGGTAAAGTTCTATTTCTTGACTTGGATGGTAATTACAAGGGTATTTCATCTCAGCATTCATTAAGCATTGTACTTGTTTTCTGGATCTGCTTTCATTTTATAGTGAAAAAGTAAAGTATCCTTTGTATTTAGGTATGTAAATATGTAGAAAGGGGATTCTAATGATGAATACAAACTGTTATTTGGGATTTGGCGGGGGGAAAGGGAGTGGCCATGTTTTGCTTTTAAAGTTTCTGTACCTCTTATGATAGAACATGTTTTGGATATAACTAGGGAAGCAAAATGCTGGTCCTAGTTGTGATACACATAGAAAGGTCACCTTTATCAGAAATCTAATAGAAAATGGCTTAACCTGAGGGATGGAGAGTTCCTTCCACTGGGGACCTAAGAACCACAGGAGGAGAAAAAAAAGTCAAGGCAGTGTGACTTAGGAAACTGTCATTTATTTGAGAAAATGAACAAGCCTCTTTTAACCTCTAGAGCCATGAACAGTCAAGTTTCTGCACTTGTTAAATAGTTAAATATATTTTTGTTCTACAGGGAGGACAAAGAAAAAGAGGGAAGCAGGGTTACAAGCGCAGGTAACAGTTCTAGGAAAGAGGACAGAGTTTTCCCTACCTGGATCTTGTGTTTTAAGAGACTCCTTTTAAAAATTCTACTTTTTGAACATCAGTCAGCCCTGAGGGTTGCCCATTCTTGAGCTTTAGTGATGAATATTTAAACACCATATGCTTCTTGTACTTGTTAAAACCCTAAAGCTCCCCTAGATTCACAGGACAGTAAAAGTTCTTTATCCTGGTCACAGGATTGACTGTATTAAGACAGCCTCAGAGAAAGGATAACCTGAATAAAAACAGGCCCATTAGAAACAGAAGTATCACCCTGGAATTAACCCTGTTTGACACTATCTCTACTTTCAGTCTCTACCTCCAAACTTTGAAGGCATCTATCACTGCTAAAGAAGACACTACATAAACAGAGGTGGTCACAAGTGTCCTGGTTTAGTGTTCCTTTAATCCACATCCCCATTAGCATTGATTATTTCCACATTTCCTCTCCCCAGTTCCCAGCATCACGCATCTACTTTCCATTTCAGTAGACTTGTTTATTTTGGACCTTAGATACAATGGAATCATGTAATACAGGGGTCTTAGGTAACTGGCTGCTTTCCCTAAGCTAAATGCTGGAGCTGTATCAGAGCTTCATCCTTTTTTGTTGCCGCTTAATATTCTACTGCCTGGGGAGACTTAGTGTTCTTTTGAAATGTCTTTCACAAAGCTATGGTGGGTATCACCCCTTGTGGGACACCAGGCCAAGAGAAACAAGGGTAACGCAGGCACCCTCTGCCCTCAAAGATAACCTCCCAGACCCCATGTGCGGCATATGGCAGACCCGAACATGTGCCGGAAAGGATCCAAGGGAAATGCAAATACCAACAGACAGAGGAGAGCAGGAAGTTGAGGAAGACAGGGCACTTTCAGATACACCTTGAGGATGGGCCAGGCGGAGGGGCAGGCGCTCCAGGGTACAGCCACAGCAAGGAACAAAGGCACAGGAGGCTGAAAAGTACAGCAAGTAGGGGGACGGGGGTGCTGGCAGGAAGAGCCAACCAGCGGGGCGGGGAAGGGGACAGGAGACAGACGGATGGCGGGGGGCTCCGCTAGGAGGGGCCCGGAACATAAACGAAGACGTCGGGGACCTGAAATTCATACTCAGATGCAGTGATAAATCTTTATTTTTTAAACTTGTCCATTACTACCAAATAAAATATAAAAGCAATCCAAAATTACGCTATTTTTGAAAAATAGTTTTCCATTTGGGATTTGTGTCCCTCTTCCAGAAAATCACGTAAAGAATTAAGAGGTTCTGACATCAGATTCCGCAGAACAAAGACTCTTTCATTGGCCACAGAAGTCCCAGTGAACTTCTTACTCCTTAAACGTCATGGGCAAAACACCCTCTTAAAAAGCAAACACACACTTCTCAACACAGAGCTTGAGCTTCCCAAGTCTCTGGGCTTTTCAGAGGATCACACAGGACCTGCAGGTGCTGGGGGAAGTGGGTAAAGGTGAGCAAGCCATCCTGGGAGAGGCCTGGAGCGTGGCTCCGGTGGCCTGACCGCATCCCTGGGAGGACCTACAGCCGCTGGGGCTGGGGGACGGGAGCCTCCCTCAGGCTCCAGCTCTCCAGTCTCTGATCAGCACACATTCTAAGGGACGGTGATCACATTTGGTAAAGCTTCAAGGAGGCAGTGTTTCAGTAGTAACCAAGGCACACCTTGTTCATGGACAATTTTATTCTGTAAGAAACCGGAAGAAGAAGGTGGTAAGCTGGAAGTCGTTCAGCTCAGAAGAACTGAAGACAGAGAGAACTCACCAGGGAACAGAGAGGTGTAAGACAGACCCACCCAGTCCAGCACCCCTGGGGATGCATCTGTCTTGAATTCCTCCACAGTGAGAGGCAGAAGCCAGCAGAAGCAAACTACCCACATGTAGAAGGGGATAGCAAAGCTGCAGACACCCTTCTACTTTCAGAAGGACCCCACCTCCTTACCTTCCCACCCCCACTGACCCTTTAAACGCCAGGTGCTGGCTTACCTGTCAATCGGATAAGGGTTTTCACAAAGGTTGACCAGCACGTACAAATGTCTCAAAGCATACTCATACTAGAGGAAAACAAACCAAAATGCACGATCAGACATCATCACTTTATAACACATCAACTCCTAACTTGGGAATACATACAGCATCTAGACCAGTGGTTCTTGGGACTTCCCTAGAGGTCCAGGGGTTAGGATTCTTTCACTGATGAGGGCCCAGAGTTTGACCCCTGGTGGGGGAACTAAGATCCCATGAGCCACCTGGTACACCCCCCCAAAAAAAAAAAAAAATTAGGCCAGTAGTTCTTGACCTTTACTGAGTCAGGGACCCCCTCCCCCCAACTTTGGATAATCTGGTGCGATTTATAGACCACTTCCCAGGAAAAATGCACATGCACGGAGATTTGCAGCACTTTACAGCAATCCTATAGCTCCTTCAAGTCCAGGTAAGGACTCCTGGATGAGAAACTCCTGGCCCTGCTGCCCTCTGTCAGCTCAAACCTCCTCTGGCAGCCTGGCTTTTGGTCTGGAACAACTGACGAGGTATGGTTAAGTGAATGCTAAACCGGATGGCAGTGAAGACTGAAATAACTGGGGATGTTATTCTTAAAAAGCACTTCAAGGGAATCTATGACCTCACAAGAAGAAGAAAGAGGAGATTCGCTTTCTGTGATTCCAAAGAGCAAAAAAGTAACATCCAATGATAAAGTATTCTTTGAAAATGGAAAATTTAAAGTTATTAAAGAGACTGCTTTGTTAAAAAATGAAAAATAAAACTGAGATTCTCTTAATAATGGTGAACCATCTCCTGAATATAATATTTCCAGGTGGCTCCATCTGGAAAAAAAATCTGCCAGCCAATGCAGGTAATGTGGGAAATGCCGGTTCAATCCCTGAGTGGGGAAGATCCCGTGGAGGAAGGAATGGCAACCCACTCCAGTATTCTTGCCCGGAGAATGCCATGGACATAGCAGCCTGCTGGACTACAGTCCATGGGGTCGCAAAGAGTCAGAAGTATTGGAGGGTGATCATGATCTGCATATCACAGCCCAGACAGAACTTTCTGCAATGACAAAAATATTCTATAACATTCTCAGTTCAGTAGCCGCTAACCACATGTGGCTCCTGAACACTTGAAATGTGGGTACTGTGGCTAAGGCACTGAGTTTTCCATTTTGTTTCATTTACTGAATGTACATTCATGTTTAAGTAGTCACACACAGTGAGGCTAGAGACTACTGTATCAAAGAGCACAAGTCTAAAGCGGGATTTGGCAAACTTTTCTGTCCTGGGCTGGATAGTAAATATTTGAGGCTTTGTGGGCTGTCTGAACTACTCAACTCAGCCGCACCATGAAAGCAGTCAGAGATGCCGTGTGACTGAGTACAACTGTGGCTGTGTTTCAGTAAAACTTTATTTATAAAACACATAGCTATGGCTATGTTTCAACAAAACTTTATTTATAAAAACAGGCTGTGGAGAAAAAAAACTCAACAGTCTGTGGGCAGGAATGGGCTGGTGGGTCACAGTTTGCGAATAACCCCTTCCTTGAAGGATCCAAGCATCATCTAAGTACTGACCCAAAAAAGAGGGGTTTTTAGGTACCTTCCAACCCTGACATTCTACAATCTGCAGAAACCAGGTACTTTCTTCTCCATGCACCAGGGACTGACTTCAGCAACAAATCTTGGGAAGAGGTTAGAACAAACCCAAAAGGGAGAAAACCTGTGTGGCTGGTGTGAGGGGCAGGGGTTAGGGGTGGGGCTTGCCAAGGAAAGCCTAGTATGAAGACAAGTCCCCTTCAAAGGCCAACAGAAATGGGAGATGAATCGTCTATAACTGGTAAACTCTCCCAGCCACTGGGACAGTTAAGAGTGTCTGGGACCAAGACTTGTGGGGGCGGAGGTCAGTGAATGTGGATGACATTCCCCTTCTCACATCCCACCAAAGACCACAGAATGGGTCTGCTGCTGTTTCCTTCTACACCATGGAACTTTCTACAAGGCAATGCACCTGGTCTGATACCCAGTGGACCACACTAACTCGGGTGTGGAGTTGAAGGTGCAGAGGAAGGCCAAGCTAGTTGGCCACGGAAACCGGGGAGCAGAGGCCGGCGGCCCCGGGGTCTGGGCTTACCGTGGGGTTGTGCCAGTTGAAGCAGTGTGAGCGGAAGTGTGACACGGCCGTCTGGTAGCACTCGTGATCTGTGAGCGGGGCTCTCTGGGACAGGAGCCTGTCCACCTCGGCGGCAGACCCTGAGACCAAGGTGACAATCTTCTGCACTGACTTCTCAATGATATTCCTGGCCTGTGAAGCGACATTTATTTTTTTACACTTAACACAGTCTCTCTTAGAACCCTGGACTGGTTAGATGCTTCTCTCACACCACCCCCACTCCACTATGTTCAGAGATGCCAACAGATGCTTTCTGCGGCAAAAGATGTGCACACAAGGCTTCTTTACAGCTAGAAACCTCCAGAAATACCTTGCCTCTTAGAGATCTTCTGGCATGATGGGAGTATTTAAATCTAAATACCTGAAGAGCAGGTATGGGCCAGACTGAGGATGCAGGGGTGGGGCTGCATAGAAATTGTGTCCCAAAGTAGACTGTGGTTCCATAAACGGTGCTGTGTGTTCACAGGCACCTCTGTCCATTGTAGAAACCAGCAGATGCTTAGACAGAATGACGCAAAGGGGGAGGGCATCATTTTCTTCCCGGATGATGAAAACCAGCATTGCAAAGGGGCAGCTGCTTCCACATCATCCAAAATATATAATCAAGTCCCCTGACCCTCCCACTCCCCAGCCAGGGTTTGTTCCATTCATGCCCAAACATTCCCTGCCCTCTGTGTATTAGACCAGCAGTTTTCAACTTGTCGTCTAGGACCACGGAGGTGCCCCAGATTTCTTGGGGGCTCCATATGTCCTCCCTTTCTCAGCTATGTATCTGTGTGAGGCTATACTTTCTTTATATATTTCAGCCAGAACTACAGAGCCCAACAGAGTGAATGCAGACACAGGAACAGGGATCAAGCTATTGTCTATTATGCCGGGCACAAAACAGGATTGCAAAAAATGTTGTGATGCCACTCTTCTCACTCATATTCTTTTGATCTTAGAAAATAATTCATTTTTGTAAAAAGTATATTAACACAAAATGGGTTTATTATTACTTCTGAATGAGTTAATGTTTTACAAATCTCAGTGTTCATTTCTAAAGCAGTAAATGCTGATATAACCCACAAAAACAAAAGCTCTTTGGGATCAATACTTTTAAGTGTGTAAAAAAGTCTAAGCGGAAAAAATAAGAGAACTGTTGTATTACACTGTGATAACAACAAAAGAAACCATCCTGGGGTAGCTAACTGTCAGAATCATGAGATACATGCATTTAAGACAGTTTACATTTTTTTTTTTCTTTCTTAGACAATTCAGGCCGTGTCCCAGCACATCAGTTCCTGAACTGTGACGATTGCATGGGGGGGGGAAATGCGGGCATGGGTGGGGTGGGCAGAGTCAGCACAGCTGGCTTTGTTGGAAGGACAGTCAGTCTCTGCCAGGTGTTTCGAGAGTACACTCCTGGTGGTTCTACTCACACAGCTCCAATTTGAAAAGAAATTCACCAATTCCAAACAAACTGATGAGCTATTGAAAACAAACCCAGTCATTGTAAGATTGCTCAAGAATTTTAGGAAGAATTTGGGGCAGTGACTATGATTTCCTAAGCCAGCAGAAATTTTTTGTGGGCTGGATTTTTTTTTTTTTTTAATATGATTAGCTACTCACTCACCAAGCAGCAAAGTAAAAAATGTCTCCTAAGCAACTAGGGGTAAATAAAGAAACACCCATGTGCCTTGGCTTCTTGGCAGAAGACAGGTCCCCTCCTTTTGCTTCCTGCTTCAAAGAGGTCAAGGCCAGTTTATCAAGGAAGAATAAAGCTGGCCCCTCTCCTGCTCATGTGTGTCCATTTCACAGCGAGTAAAGGAAAGTTTTGTTTCCCATATATTCCCGTGTGGTAGGAGGAGGGTGATCCCAGAGCTCCATCCCTTGGTTCCCACCAACACGGAACTACGGTCAGGAGGCAGATGGGGCTCACACATGCTCCCTGGGGCCTGAAACTTCACCACCACTCACCTCCAGATGCCTGTCGATCTTCTGGACAAGACGCCTGGACTCCTGCAGATCGTTGCTGCTCATCAGCTTCCTTTTCATGATGGTGAGTGGCACCTCGGGGCTTGGAGTGAGGTCAAGGCGACTGACGGGGGGCAGCGAGATGGGAGAGCTAGCTTTGTGTTTCATACCCTGAAACTGCATCAACTTCATGGCAGAGATGGACTGGGGAGGGAGAGAGAGTTGGTTTGAGTGGGAGAAGCAGAGGTGCCAAACGTACCCCAGGTCCTGGAGTCCAAGTTCGCCCCACGTGGTTTTGGGACCACAGAAGGGTCACAGTCACAGCCTGAAAGCACAAGTTCAGTCCTCAGCAGTGGGCGAGGTGATGCATTTGAGCACCTGAAATCCACCGATGATGAACTTTGAGGATGCCTGGCACCCTTTGCAGCAGAACTGCCCCAGTTCTGCTGAGCTTGGACCAGAGTCATTTCAGCCACGGGTGATGCTGGGTTGTGTTACCACCACCCCCATGCTCACCCGCCTGCACCTAGTGACAGAAGGAAGATGCAGAGCACCTGGCAGGTTAGAGCTGAGGTCTGAGTCTACTGACATGGGAGAGCCAAAGCCACAGGGGCACGGGGTGGGGGGTGTGGGTTGGGGGGTGCGGGGCTGACTTGGCATCAGGGTCTAACTGGCAAGCAGGCCCGATTGCCTGGCTCTGTCTGCCCACAAAGGTCACTGCAGACTGAATCCCAATTAAGAGGAAAAGAAATGTTGCAAGCAATCATGTTCCTAAACCAAGCAACTAATCACTAATTACCAAAACACTAATTTAGAAACAACTCTAAAACAAAAAATAAAATACGTGTGCATGCTAAGATACTTCAGTTGTATCTGACTCTTTGCAACCCCCTGGACTATAGCCTGCCAGCCTCCTCTGTCAGTGGGATTCTCCAGGCAAAGATACAGGAGTGGGTTGCCATGCCCTCCTCCAGGGGATCTTCCTGAGTCAGGGATCGAATGTATGTCTCTCTTGTCTCCTGCAATGGAAGGCAGTTTTTTACTACTAGCACCACCCAGGAAACACAGGCATAAATATATAGAAGTATAATGCTTAGAAAAGATTCTTTAGGGGACCTCCATGGTGGTCTAATGGTTAAGACTTTGCACTCCAATGCAGGGGGCATGGGTTCCCTCCCTGGTCAGTGAACCAAGATCCTGCATGCCAAGTGGCACAGCCAAAAAATCAAAATCCTTCGTACCTCCTCAACCAAGAGCAGACCTGGCCAATGCTGAGAAAACTACAGGGAACAGAAAGCCTAGGGCAGAAGAGCTGCTGCTGGTACCTTCCCCTCCATCCAATCCCTCAACAAAGCCATGGTGCCATCTTTGACCCTGCCTCCCCCAAGTCACCCTTCCCTGGCTTCTCTCCACTCCTCCACTCCACTACCCACCTCTCAGGCTGACCAGGCCCACAGCCTCCTGAGTGCATGTCTCATGGCCTGTGACTGGCTCCAGGGCCCTCCCATCCACACGCTGCCCAAGAAGTGCTAAAGGACTTCTGGACTGACTGGCTCACCAGGTCTTCTAGAAGGCTGATGCTTATATCGAAGGAATTCGGCTGGTGAGCTCTCAGATGGTGGCAGGCCACTGGAGGAGGGCATCTGGCCATACAGACAACTGGGAGCACTACCCCCCCCCCCATCACCTCCTCTGCACATCCCAAGGGCTGGCCCCACAGGTGGGACTTGAGGCCCAAGCCTTCAGCAGCCACCTAATGCGACTCTGTCAGGACAGCTCTGATGGACTTACTTATTGGACCACCTAGGTCCTTTCACAGCTGGAGGCGATACACATCTCTAATTTAGAGCCTATGGGTCAAGATAACATCCTGCAAGTGCAGGAAGGCTGGACACATCCAGCATGTGGGGGTCCAGAGGGCAAAGCCACAACACTCACAGGATGAGATTATTCGCTAACCTCTCACCAGGCGCTAAGTCTGTGTTTAGTGTTGGGGATGTGCTGCTAACTTTTGCCTCCCAATCACCTTGCGCGCTAGGGCTTTGACCAAGGAGGAGACGGAGACCCAGAGAGGACAGGCAGGTGGCCCAAGCCTCAGAACTTTGTGAGTTTGAACCTGAGTCTGATTCCAAAGCCTGAGCAGACTCTCCAGGACAGAGTGGCCATGAGAGGCAGAGCCAGCCCTGCCTCGGCCATTCCTCACCTGCCTGGATCCCGGTTCTCTTCACTGGGGGATGAACGTTCCTGGCGAGTCAGCCTAAGACTTGGGTGTTGTCAGGCCTGTGAGGCCCCTACTCACCTTGTTCCCATACTGCATAACGTGGCTGGTGTTGGTGTGGGATTTCACCAGCTGGTACTGCTTGTGGAGGGTCTCTTTGGTCAAATCCTCCTGCAAAAGTGAAAACATTTCAAGCCTTCTGACCACCGCAGCTGACACGTAAGCCTCCACTGAGCAGCCGGCCCCCGACGGCTCACCACGTCTGAATCTTCCATCCAGTTGACACTGTACCAGTCCCCCAGGTACGTGGACCGCTGCTCATCATAGTAACAGGCATAGGACGACTCCTTGGGGTTGGCAGCCGTAGTTGCATAAACTGCAAGGAATTAAAGATGCCTTTCAGGCGTGTTTTATCCTCAGCTATCTGAGGATTCCCCTGGAAACTTGAGTTCTTGCTCCTCTCCTGGTGCAATCAAAGCACATCACCTGTGATCAGCTCAGGGAGGACAGGGTGACCTCCCTACATCCAGCCCTGTTCACTCAGTTACAGTAACTCATCTAAAATTAAAGGTAGAAGAAAGAGAAGACAACTGATAGACACTTTCTGCTACAATGAGTGAGCAGGCATGCTTATTGGGACATCAAGCTGTTTTGGAAAAGTGCTAGAAGATCAGAATAGCTGAATCTTGAAGGGTATGGACCTCATTTCATTTCCAGAGAAACAGAACATTTACTAATATTAGAGAAACATTTAGGTTGACTGAATCTATGAGCTACCACTTACTATCCAGCCACCATGGACTCAGAGCTATGCAGGATAAATGTCATCACTTAAAATGTAACTCTCCAAAAAAAAAAGTGTAACTCTCCCAACAGACACTATCTTTATCCCCATTTTACAGATGGGGGTAACTGAGAGTAAAAGAGGATAAGTCATCTGTTCAAGATTAGACAGCCAGCAACCAACACATTACAAAGGACAGAGGCCAGTCCAAAGACTATAATTTTGGACTTAGGTAGCCCTACAAGAACCTGGCAGAGCACCACAGAGCAACATCACGTCACCCCCGAGCACTGATCCTCTAGAAGTAGAAGCCCAGAGCTGCCCACAGGCATCTCCCTACTTCTAGGCACCAGGCTGCCCCAGGCCTCTGCTTCTATAAGACACTTGGTTCTTCCCATAGGCACAATTAGTGAATGTCCAATTGCACTGCAGAGCATGGTGCTCACCCAGCCCAGCTCAGAGGTCAGTGTACCCACCACCTACCATTGATGTCGGGTGGCAGGTGGTTCATCATGGACCCAGACTCGCAGGCTTCAATGTAGAACACCATCTAGGAGGCAAATGAGACAAGTGAATTCCCCCTGGCCAGGCACAGACCTCTCACCAAGGCCACTTTGGCTCTGCCCACTCTCTTGACCCATTTCTCAAGAGACTTTCACTTTTAGGAGACATCTGTGCTATAAGAAGCTGCTGCCAGAGGCTACAGATGCTGTTGTCATACAAACCAGAAGGACTCAAATTTGTGTATGGCTAGTAGTAGTAGTAGTAGTAATCGCTCAGTCATGTCTGACTCTCTGCAACCCCACAGACTGTAGCCTACCAGACTCCTCTGTCCATGGAATTCTCCAAGCAAGAATACTGGAGTGGATTGCCATTCCCTTCTCCAGAGGAGCTTCCTGACCCAGGGATCAAACATGGGTCTCCTGCATTGCAGGCAGATTCTTCATCATCTGAGCTACAGGGAAGATCCCGGTGTATGGCTAATAAAATAAGATGACCTGTTAGCTGAAATAATGCAGGAAAAATGGAGCCATACATGATGCTGAGGAAAGCTGATTTTCCATCCAGTGCAGGGTATAATTTTCAGGAGCAAAACACGTTACTCACACAAACATGCCAGAGCTACACAGATTCCATTCAGGGTGCAAAAGGGGCTAGAAGGGGCCAAAGGGAGAATAAAGTGGTATCTTCCTCCCCAGCCGCCCCAGACTGGTGACAGTCTTAGAGCAATCTCCAAAGTGTGGTCCCTGGACTAGGAACATTGCTGGAAAGGCAGACCCTGGGGCTTCCCCCCAGAAACACTGAGTCAAATGCTGGGGGTGGGGTCCATACTGTGCTTTTTGTTTTTTTAATTCATTTGTATTTTTGACTGCACTGGGTCTTTGCTGCTGTGTGCGGGCTTTCCCTAGTTAAAGGGGGAGGGCTTCTCATTGCAGTGGCCTCTCTTGTTGTGGAGCACGGGCTCCTGAGCGCAGGCTCAGCAGTTGTGGCACATACACTTAGTTTCTCCCAGGCACGTGGGATTGTCCTGGACCAGGGATCACACCCATGTCCCGGCAGTGGCAGTCAGATTCTCAACCACTGGACCACTAGGAAAGTTCCCACGCTGTGTTTTAACAAGATTGCCAGTGATTCTGACCGAACAGCTGAAGCTTGAGAATCACAACAAAGTTATTCCTGGGAGACCAGAGGTCAAGATTGACGGAAAGGACACCTTTTCCAAAACAAAAAAAACACAGCCAATCCAGAGTTAGAAGGCCCATCACAGCACCGTGGGCTCTGCTCCCACTGCCTGCCTTGTATCCTTTCCCCAAGGCCGCCCCAAGCACCGACATTACCTTTTGGTACATCTTGTGTTTGTACATGTAATGGATGGTCTCATTCAGGTCCTTTACATGAAGCTGAAAGGTAAGAATATGGACACTCAGACCAAACACTTCAAGAGAAACCATGTGCTGGATAACCCACTAATCAAGTCCCAGTGATGCCTTATAAATTCTTATTTAGAACTCCTTAGAGATGATTATGGTGTACAGCATCCCAGAACATCGTCAAGGGCTTTGTTCACATATCAAAGAGAGGAAGCAGATGTGCCTCCTCATCACTTTGCCCAGAGCGCTCAGGGCTGTGTTCTATGACTGCGTCTCGTGCAGGCACCCAAGTTGAGGGACAGTGACTGATACTGTGATGTCAGTAGACATGCAGGGAAAACTTGCCACAAGAGACGCCTCTGGATAGATTTCAAACTGCTAAATGCAGCCGCATACTTACCAGCTGCACAGAAACCACCCCATGTAATGTAATGTAAACCATGTAATGTAGGACATTACAGACACACATCACAGGTGTACTGCCGACACTGAGGTTTTGTTTCCTGTTCTCCCTGCTTGCCTTTTTTTTGGGGGGGTGGGGAGGGGCTACCCTTCTCAGCTTGTAGGATCTTATTTCCCTGACCCGGGATCGAACCCGAGCCCTTGGCAGGGAGAGTGCAGGGGTCCTAACTATTGGAACCCCGGGAGTTCCCCACGGCTTGTTTCTAAAACATTAAGAAACTCACATCCTCGTTAGGAAACACCAGTATTCCAGTGGCTCCGTGATCCGTGAAGTAAACGAACACGTGGTCCCGGGGGCCACTGCCAAGAGACACACAGACAAGCATGAGAGTCGAGGTGGGCCATTTCCTGCTCCGTGTCTCTGAGAAGTCACTCCAGTCAAAAAACTTGAGGAGAAGCCTGAGGATTACAGTCTCCCAACCAGGTCGGAGGAGGAGCACAAGAGACCGCCCTCTGGCTTGTTCCCTTTGATCCCGCTGAGTGCTACTCTGAACCACGAGGCACATCCCAGAGCCTGGAAGCCCAGGACGGAGCTCAGCAGACAGCCCAGGGTGATCGGGAGAGTGGGGGCCTTTGGCCATTGGGCCTCATCCCAGGCGGCCACACTCTCCTACCAGATATCCCCAAAACGAGTAAGGGAGCCAGGACATGCCACCAAATGTGGTCAGTTCCGACTGCCCTCCAGGGCCCTCGGCCTGCACACAGCCTGGGACGGCCACCGGTGCTCCCTCACTGGAGGGCCCTGTTCCAAGATGGCAGAGGTGTAACAACTCACTTGGAGGCAATCTGGTTCATCCCGCTCGAGATGTCCCTCTCTGCTCTAACTCATAGCAGCTACCTGAGCGCAGGTCTCCCCTCAGATACGAGCAGAACAGCACCAGCTGCCTAGTACCTGAGACTCTGAGGCCATGCTCCCAAGCTCCCTGACGTCATGTCAAAATGCTGCATAAAGAGATGCTACACGGGACATCTCTCACCCACAGCCAGCAGGGCAAGCACTGGGATGAGTTTTCTTCAACACGGAGGTTTGCTCTGAACTTATCAATGTCCTCCTCCCACTGGGCTGACCTGCCATCAGAGCACAAGGCCGGCGGGAGGCTGGGTGGGGTTCCTACAGCCTGACTGGCCGCAGAGCTTCACGCCGGCCTCAGGGTGTTCCAATAGACTAGTAGCAGGTTTAAGCGATGGGGAACGTTTCATTTAGAGTAACGAGGGACCCTGGATCACAGGGTTAATTTGTTACAGAAACGGCTGCCAAGAGAAGCCACAGGTTCTGTGCAGGCTGTCAGGACAAAGGTCCCCACGCTGCCATCTCTCACCAGTAAACAGGCCAGAAGCAAGAACAAGGCCTAAATGAATTCTCGATTCTGGAGTACCAGGTCATTCAGAACAAAGGGACAGCCATAAAACAGACGTTACCTCTTTAAGACCTTTCCAGATCCTACGCCCTTCACTGCTTCTGCATCACCTCTCAACACAGCAAGGAAATTCTTCGGGGTGACATCCTACGAAAAATCGTGAGTTGAAATCAGATGCGGCAGTCACTTCAAATCAGTGCGTGTGCTGAGTCTGTAGCAGAGGGCCCAGGCCATGCCCACACACCTCCAAGGCTTAGAGATGAAGGGCAAACACTCTGTCACCAAGAAGACCCAAAGCAAGGTCGGGGTTCCCAGGACATGTGTGTGACCCTGTCTCAAGCATCGTCTGGTCTTTGGCTGATGCCATTCAGCAAGCCTGCCATTTCTTCTTGACCATCATAAAGTCCAGGTGGAGAAACCCAAGATGTCAGTAGGAAGGGACAAACAGCAGAGGAAGAGCATGTGGCCTCAGAGACACAACACAGATGGAGACGGAAACTTCTGGGCCGACCTTTGCAACTGGCCTGCCTCCTCAAAGGCTGAATCCCAAAAACATCCCTTAAAGGGGACTTTGTAAAATGGATATCTGATTATTTAAAACAAAAAAACAAATTACAAAAAAGCACAGAGCAAAAAATATAAATCACCAGAAATTCCACCACCTAAATTTTGGACATTTCCTTAAATAAGTCTATGGAAACAATTTCACAAAAATGGGATCATCTATGTTATATGAATGATGTATCTGATTTAATTGTTCTTGAATTTAAAAGAGAAAAATAAAACTGGAAGAACTGCTAAACTTCATAGAAATATTTCTCTCTCACGAGAAATATTGGTTTCTAAAAGATTCCACTGAAATTAAGAGAAACAGGGTATGAAATCCAGAAGGCTAATGAAATTATGGTGTTTTTAAAAATGTGTCAATGTACTGGGTTGGCCAAAAAGTTTGTTTGGTTAATGAATATGCTGTTCAATAAAGTTCATTGTGAAAATGAAAAATGTCTTTTATTTTTACCTAAAACCAAACAAACTTTTTGGCCAACCCAATATATACCCTCAATCAACTGGGAAGAATACTTTGGAAGTGATATACTATTACAACAATGGTGGAAAACTATCTCAGCAAAATTCAGAGATACTACTTTGCACCAGGGCTGGCATTTGAGAAAGTTGATTTTCAGAAAAGGACACAAATAGTTTATAATCAGATTAATGACAGTATCTTAAGAAAATCAGGTATTATGGAAAGAAAACTACTGAGATTTAAAGTATAATAAAACTAGAAGTAAAAGATTGGTAGACTACCACTAATACTTTTTTTTCTTCTTTCTGCTTTCTTTCAAAATTCACAGAAATTATGCCTCAGGCACAAATCTCAATATAAACACAAGATGCTGGCCACAAATCTGTCTAATGAGGCCCTGATTCCAGAAATACAAGGAAGAGGGGAAAAGCATCGTTGAAACGAAGCAGACCCCGCCGGCTCAGACCCCGCCGGCTCCGACCCCGCGCTCCGCCTCACCTCGCCCGTGTAGTCCTTCACCACGCCCTGGTACACGTCTGAGCCATTGGGCCTGTTGATCACAACTCCCGGGGTGGGATTGCTGAAAATCAAAGGACTCAATGAAGCACACAATTTGATGTATTTCTGAAATCTGCATCTTCATAAATATGTTCTGGTTATGCATAAAAGGACTAAACAGTCATGACTGTCACAAACACTTCTCATCACCCACCCAGGTCCCCAGCATGGTAGTGGTTTTAGTAGCCCGAAGGTCTTGGGGTCCCACAAGTCCTGAGCTCCTAGCTGGAGCAGTGAAGGGCTGAGCTCTGCAAACTGAGGACAGGAACCCAGGCCCCCGTGTACCTGGCCTCCTGATGGACACCAGCTGGCATGTTGGAGGGGAGATCTCATCAAGAGATCTCTCAGAGAAAAACTACTTTCAGAGAGAGAACAAAAAACAAGGCTTTCATGCAAGAGCTTAGGCATTAAAGCTCAGAATGGATTAGGAACCATCATGTGATCACTGGAAAGGGCACAGTTGGGAACCGAGGAGCTGGGAGACTAGAACGGGTTAGAGTCATACCCATACCTGCTGCTGCTTTTCTTTTTGGCAGTGGGGGAGGAAAGGGTGAGCCACTTGGCACGTGGGATCCAGTTCCCTGACCAGGGATTGAGCCCCCTGCCCAGAAGCTCGAAGTGTTAACCAGTGAATCACCAGGGGAAGTCCCCCATACCTGCTGTTTCTGATCTCCTCAAGAAATCAGACAAGCAGGCATGAGAGAACAGTTTGTAAAGCTAAATTCAGCAATTTTTTAAAGAAGGAAATACATATAGAAAGAAGGGTGGGAGGATCTAAGCTACAAAGGAGCCTCCTGTGCACAGGCCTCCGAGGCGCCCCGGCGCAGAGGTCAGGAACAAACACCACTGAACCTAGTGATGAGTTGGTTCTCCAAGCCGAGAGGGAACTCATGCTTTAAAGCTTGCAAAGCCCGAACCTCAGCACCTTCACTACCATTTGCTATGTCCTTGTCATTGCTGGGTTCCACCAAGTTATAGTCAAAGCTCTACATGAAGTAGGTGGGTGGAATTTCAGCTGGGAGTCAGCTTACATTCTAATGTTAGGCTGCCCATCTAAGAATTCCTGAGAATCTGTATTTTTTTAAAACGCCCTGAAGTTCCTCACCACCAAAGGCCTCCATACTCACTCTTCAGAGTTGGCGATGTCGTCATACATCATCACGATGATCTGCTCATCAGGGATCCCATTTCGGTGAACGATCTGGTAGGCATGGCACGCATCTGCCTGGGAGAAGGGGTTTTGTCAAGTGTTAGATTTTGCCCAGAAGAAGCCAATTTGGGAGTTTTCATGAGCAACGTGTTCTTTCTCATGGAAGAGGTGCTGTGTCCCAACCCCTATTGGTCAGGTATTTAAATCAGTTTAAAACACATTCATTTACCTTTTTCAGTTCAATTTTTAAAAATCCACCCTTCACCATGAAACTCTCATCAGGCAGTTAGTGTAATTAATATGTGAACTACACTCACACACACACACACACACCTACCACCACCACATCTACAGGAAACAAGGGCTTTTGAAAGTCCTGAATAAGTTATTTTCATTTTCCACACCATAGAAAAGGCTCCTGAAAGCACTGATTTAGGGCTGAAGAACAGAATGACAGAATGATAAACCAAGAGATTAAAAGCTTAGCGGTTAGTTCTGTATCACACAGGATTCTTCTGGCTCCAGTAACCCTAACCGCCACAGTTGCTGTTCAGAGAACTGAGTGAAAAACTCAAAAATTCAGCTCAGGAACTAAAATGAGGAATGTGTTCTTTAGTTTAAAAAAAAGTAACAAGGGTGACCATAGTAAAGGTAAAAGAAAAACTTTGCTAATGAGATTCCTTGTCCATAAATAGGTCAAGACAATTTTTGCTTCCTTTTTCAGATGATACAGACTACACTCCATGACATGGAAATCATTTCAGGACAAAAGGGGAAAATGTTACCTACCTTTCTGCTTTTATTTAATTATGTCTTTCCTAGGGCAGAGTATAAAAGAAATGCCGTGCCCAGTTACTTGCCTCTCTAAAGAAGAGGGCTTCAGAAACCGTATGTCCACAGATCATGTTCTAAACAGCTCTTAGCAAAGCAACTGAAATAGAGCTCACACACCACCAAACCCAGCACTCTGCCTGTAGATGTCCCAAACAAATGGACTTTATAGCAAAAATGGGTGCTCAAAATACAGTTGCTAAATGTTGTGTCGGTGAGTCCAAGACCTGGCATTCAAGAGCTATTAGAGGAATAGATAACTGAATATGAAAACATACATTTATGGACTTGCTCTACTTGCCAGGCACTATGCTCAGACTTTCTATGTACCATCTCATTTAATTCTCATCACAGCCCTCTGTGACAGTGATTCCCATTTCACAGTGAGGTCGTCAAAGCTTAGGGACGGGAGGTGACCTGTCCAAGTCACACAGCTCAAAGTGAAAGATTCTGGGCATTCTGACTCCAGAACCTGATCTTTTTTTGTTGTTGTTGTTTTGTTTTTTCATTTATTTTTATTAGTTGGAGGCTAATTACTTTACAATATTGTAGTGGGTTTTGTCATACATTGACATGAATCAGCCATGGAGTTACATGCATTCCCCATCCTGATCCCCCATCCCTTTTTTTTGTTTTCTTTTATTTTTTTTTTAAATTTATTTTTATTAGTTGGAGGCTAATTACTGTACAATATTATAGTGGGTTTTATCATACATCAGTACCTGATCTTGCTTTCAGACAATACAGAAAAATAAACTGTCTGATGTTCATATAATGGGAGTACCATAAAGCTCACACAAATGGAATACCTAAAAATGAATGAAATACAAACCATGCTTCAAGATACATGAATCTCAGGAACATAATGAGAAAAAGAACAAATGCTAGAAAAAAAAATTCACTATGATTACATTCATATAAAGGTCAAAACAGGCTATAGGAAACATTATGTTGTTTAGTTAAATACCCAGATGGTAAACTCTAAAGTGAAGTAAAATAAATCTAAGGAACTTGCCCTCTGGCAGGGTCAAGATTGGACCAGACAGGGGACTGCGGGTACTGAGAGAGTCAGTTCTTAAGGTGGGTTGATAAGCAGTCCAGGGGTCCCCAAGGAGAGAGGGGTCTGGAATTCTCAAGGAGGAGAAAAGGACAAAGGTTTTTTTTCCTCTACATTCCTTAGTCTTAGTCTCAAGTTTTCATCTTTAAGCCTGGAACGGATGATTACACAACAAACAACACAGTTTAAACTCTGTACTAAGGATTGTACGACAACAACGTATCCTTCTTGAGGACAGTTTCTCCTTCCTGAAAACCTTCTGGCTAATCCTGTTATCTTAAAAAAAATGTAAATTATGGGAGTGGGTCCAGTAAGATCTTTACAACCTCCAGACATTCTTTTGATTCATTGTAATAACTAATTAAAAGGTATTTAACTCCATTGCTAACACTAGCCAGGAAGTACTCTTTCTGCCCCCTTCTGATGTCTCTGTCAGAAGCTTTCTCTATCACTTTTATACTTTAATAAAACTTTATTACACAAAAGCTCTGAGCGATCAAGCCTCATCTCTGGCCCCAGAGTGAATTCTCTTCCGGAGGCCAAGAATCCCGGAGTCTTTTGTGGCTCAGCAACAAGCCTTTCAGTACAAAGTACATAGGTATTCATTTTATTATTATTCTTTACATTGCAGGCACATTATATAGATATTTGTTTTCTATTTCATAAGAAAAAAAATCAAACAAATATTATGTCAGATTTAACCTTTTCAATGAAACTGGAGTGTGCAGGCACACCCACCCACTCACCTCAGTGCAAATCGGCCTATTATTTATCTCTTCTGTTAGACACCATAAAGCAGGTTCACCAAAAAACAAAAACAACTTAGGAATAAACTTAGCAAAAGACGTGTAAGACTTATACACTGAAAATTATAAAACTGCTGAGGAAAATTAAAGAAGATCTAAATACACAGAGAGAGATATGTCATGCTCACGGATCAAAAGACATTACCACCCTTAAACTTTTTAAAAAACTAGCTCAGTCGGTAAAGAGTCTGCCTGCAGTGAAGGAGACCTGGATTCAATCCCTGGGTCAGGAAGATCCCCTGAAGAAGGAAATGGCAACCCATTCCAGTATGCTTGCCTGGAAAATCCCATGGACAGAGGAGCCTGGTGGGCTGCAGTTCATGGGGTCACAGAGTTGGGCACGACTAAGCAACTAATGCCACCAGTGGATAAGACTCCACACTTCCAGTGTCTCCACTGCAGGGGGCATGGGTCTGATCCCTGGTTGGGGAACTAAGATCCCACATGCCGTGCAGAACAGACAAAAGATTAAAAAAAAAAAAAAAAAGAAATACCTCTCCTCTCCCCCTCAAAAATTTTTTTAAAAAACTGATCAGCAGGGATTTCCTCAGAAATTGACAAGATAATGCTAAAATTTATATGAAACTACAATAGTAAAAATACATACATATACTGAAAAAGACGAAGAAGGCTGGAAAACTTTCACTTCCTGTTTTCAGAACTACCCTGGGAAAGGAGAATCTCATCAACAAGTGGTGCTGGGAAATTCTGGATATCTACATGCCAAAAGACGATCTTAGACTCTCACCTCATACCATATATGAAAATTAACTCAAAATGAGTCATGCTTAAATGTAAGTGCTAAAACAAAATTTTATAAGATAACACAGGAGAAAATCTTTGAAATCTTGAACTGTAATTGCACAGATGCCATAGATATGACACCAAAAGCGTGGTCTATAAAAGAAAAAAAATGACAGACTGGACAACACCAAAACATAAAATTTTAGTACTTCAAAAGACACCAGTCAGAAAGGGAAAAGATAAGCAACAGAGAGGAAAATGTTTGCAAAACACATATCTGAGACAGGACTTGTATGTAGAGTATGCAGAGAACTCTTGTACCTAACAACTGGTTCAATCAAAAACAGATAAAAATTTATATAAACATTTCACCTAACCAGATATACTGATAAGCACATAAAAAGATGTTCACAATCATTACTTGTTAGGGAAATGCAAACTCAAACCACAATGAGCTCAGAGCAGACAGACAATAACAAGTACTGGTGAGGATAAACCAGGAAGCTTCATCCACTGCTTGTGTGAATGTAAAATGATGCAGCCATTTTGGAAAATAGTTTAAATTTCTTTAATAGTTAAGTATAAATTTACCCTATGACCTGGGAATTCTACTCTTAGGTATCTGCCAGGAGAAACAAAAACATTTATCCACACCAAGATCTATACTCAAATGTTCTTAGCAGAATGCTTCAAATAGGCAAAAAAAAAAAAAAAAAAAAGGAAAAAGGAAACAACCCAAATATCCAGTGAGTGGTAAACAGACAAAATGTGATTTAACCATACAATGGAATGCTACTTGGCAACAAAAGGAATGAAGTACTGATATGTGTTACACAGATAAAGTTTAAAAACATGACCTTAAGAGAAGCCAGACACAAAAGATCACATTGCAGGGCTCCATTTATACGATATGTTCAGAAAAGGCAAACTTACAGAATGACAAAGTACACTAGTAGTTGCCTACAGCTGGGGACTGAAAATTGGCTCAAGGCATCTTACTGGGGAGATGGAAATGTTCTAAAACCGATTTATGGTGATGTTTGCACAACTTGCTAAAAGCACTAAAATATCACTAAACACTTAAAATGGGTGAATTATATACGATCTGTAGAACACGCTTCAGTAAGACCATACATTTTAGAAAACATATTCAGCCTATCCTGTGAGTGCTCCCCTATGCTCCTGGGCTCACCACCTCCCTGATAGGCAGACTCTTTTATGCCCATTTCACAGATGGGGACAGGCTCAGGTTAGGGCTCAGGGGTTCCACCACCGTGCCTCGTGCTCTGCCTCCACACTCAGAGGTCTCAAGCCAAGCAGTGATCCTCTCCTGGGTCCTTGGAATTACTTGCTTTCCTCCCAACTTACACAATTCAAAAGGGCTTTCGGTCAGAGCCAAGCACTCGCACCCAAAAGAAATAAAAAAGTAAGGTTAAGCCAAGTCAAGTGACTTGGAGACAGTGCTAAAGGTTACTTCAATGACTTTGCTGGAGCACATCTTATCTCTGCATTTTTTCCCTTAAAAACAGAAATGCCATAGAAGAAATGCCACGTGAGAGGAAGGTATTGAGCAAGACTTGACGTAAAGGGCCGAGCTCTCTGGGCCACTGAACGGAGACTGCTGACTCAACTCTTAG